GAAAGAGGAGACCATAACAGGGGGGCGAGAGTTTTAACCCTAGTTTAACCCACTGTGGCCTGAGCCTTAACACTGCGGAGCAGCTGGAGCCATTTCCAGGAAGGCAAACAGGGCTGGGCTCTGTCCGTGATGCTCTACGCAGCCTGAGCTCGACAGCACGCCTTGCATAGTGTCCCTGGGAGAGCCTGCCCCACTCTTTGTGGTGATGCTTCTTTACCAGAATTGAATACTTTTATACTGCTGGATGAGGGATTCACACTGGCAGAGCTACACACTGAAGTGTGTGGATATAGAGGGCATATTCAGATTGCACAGATGTATAATGCTACTATTACAAGCCTGCTGTCCAAAATTCCCCTGCAGACTGGGGCTAAACCCTGGGAATTGTCTTGCTGAGGGCAGCAGGAATGCCTTTTCTCCTCAAACTCAGCATCTGGCTGACCACGCTGACATGCAATAACAGCACAGACCTTCACAGCCCTGTGACACTTTCCATGCTGGGTGTCCGGCAATTAATTTGTGAAAAGCAAGCGGAGTGGAGTCAAGCAACGTTAGGCTGTGCATTAGCAGCTGAGCTGCTCTGAGCCCTCAGCACCTGCAAGCAATTTAGCGAGCAGAAAGGGGCCCCCTTATGTTGAGCTAAAGATGGATCAGTCTTATTACTTTCATGGAGATGTTAAAATGAAAAGTAGACTGCTATTTTCTTTGCTACAGACTTTTTTCTATATTTAAGAAGGAAATCTTTTGGAGTTAAAAGAAGTCCCATTCTGACTGACAGCTAATTACAGGGGCTGAAGTGCCAGGCCACATGAAACCCATGTCAAGGCTTTGCAAAATTATCCAGGAAAAAAATAGGAGAGAAAGGGGCTCAAAGGGAGGCAGACAGTGCTGCAGGAACAGGGCTTGCAGACCACCTGGACTAGGTGTGCCTGTGGTCCCTGAGAGCATCCCTCTTTCCCAGAACCGTAAGACAGGGATGTGCCAGAGGGTTGGGAATGCAAAGGATGAACCTCTACAGGTCCTGCTTGGAGCAGGAGCTCCCCATGCTCTGTCTCCCTGGGCTTTAATAGAGACAAGCAATAAGGAACATCTATAGGGTCTGGAGTGATTTCTGCCATATACCACTTTATGGACAGGAGGAAAGTCTTGGAGAGATCAGCTGTGCCCCACTTGTGCCTTTAAGATGCTGCTGCCTGTGGAGTGAGCAAAGGGACGCTGATCTGTGACTTGCTTTCCCATCTTTCCCGTTACATCCATAGGGCTGGTGTATGGGTGTGAGCTACCTGATTTTGGGTGGTCTGTCCAAGGAAATTCATCACAGGCTCCTCAGCTTTTGGTCATGCCTGAACCTTTAGCTGGGGACAGAGACACGGATGCAAGAGGCTGGTTAGAGGGTTTTGCAATTAAAGATCAGCTTGCAACAATGATCACACATGGGCTCACGCTCAGGAAACGAGCTCTCCTGATTTATCTTTCCTTCCTGCACTTCAGATCTTGTGCACATATGCAGGCAGAGAGGCTCACAGGTGCTTTTGGGAACACCGTGGTATCTGTGAGCCCACGCAGCCCCTGTCTCTCCTGCTGCCCCCCCCGCCCCGAAAGCCCCACACACCCTGTCTCTGTGTCTGGGAGCAGTGAGGGCTGGCTGCTCCCCAAGGGGTGGGGAGCCATGGGGGACCTTGTGCTGGCTGTGCCCATGGGGTGCAGGCTCTCAGGGGCTGGACATAGCAGGCAGAAGCTCCATTTGGGGTTGGTCAGGGCTGTTAAGGGTTAATGGTGCCCTCAGGACCACGATGCTCTGCCTAGGGGAACAACAGCAGGAGATGCTTTGGAGAGGGGAACAAGAATCCAGGAAGGTGCAGGAACACCCACAAGCTCATTCCTCCTTCACCCTGCCATAAGCAGCAAACGGAGTCATCAGCTGCATCACCAGTGGGGGGACTTTAATGTAGCCTGAAGTCATTGATAATAAATTAACTTAATACAAGCAGCTGTAAGTAAGATCCGATCTGGATCTAACACCTTCCTGCAGGGAAGCCCAGGTTCTCGTGGTGTTTCCCAGGCACAGTATCTCTCTTTCACGTTGTTAGATCTGAGGCACAACTCATTTTTGCCATCTGATCAGAGGCTTTACAGTCACCTCTTCCACGCTTCACATTCCCCCCCCCCTGCTCTTCAACCTACCACAAGCTACTTAAAGTCATTATAAGTTAACTCGATCTACACATTCTCTGTCACGAGGCTTTTTCTGCTTCTTTGCCAGTCCACTCTGACAGGGAAGTTTTGGGCTCTGTGATACTGGCTGAGCAAGCGTGTGCCCTTGACTATGCACAATGCACTGCAGCTCACCTGCGCAGCAAAAAGGCTCTTGCTAATCTCTGCCTGCAGCCCCACTTTGAGCAGTGACTAGGAATAACTGTTTTTCAGGACTGCTTAGCTTTTAGTTCACAAGATCAACACTGAGTTTCCTAAGTCCTTTCTCCCCAAAGTGAGCTTAGAGCAGTGCTGTCCTGAAGGGACTGGTTTTCTGCTCTGCAGACATGTCTAAGGGCAGGTGAACTTTGTACAATGATGGCTTATTCTTGAATGACTTAAAACCCCTGCTACTCTCTTAGCAGAAGTTGTCCTCTATGTTCAAACTCTCACTCTTCAGTCTATTTTTTTCCTCAGAGGCCAACATATATGTAGAAATGAGAACAGTCTGTACCTTATTCCACTTACAAAGCATGCTATCCTAATTTTCAGATGATGAAAAAGGAGAAATCTTGACTTGGTAGGGAAGGATCTCCAGATCTCTGCTTCCTACTTTCACCTTTGGTTTGCAGTGACTTGGAGGAAGTTGGTGTCCTTGGAACAGCAGCTCCCTAGGGAAGAGGCCAGACAGAAGCAGAGGAGACAGAAATCAGCTTGAGGTGGAAAAAAAGAGGGAGCAGTGGGGCTCTGCAATGTGCCCTGTGGGGCAGCAGTCTTTTTACAAAGGATAGAAATGAGAGGTAATCATCTCCTGTGCAATTAGCAGAGAGCCACAGGCCAACACTGCCTGTTTTAACCATCCCATTGCAGGGTCTCATCTTGTTTTCAGGCTAACACTGACCTTAGAAAAGGAGATCAAGGGTTTTTCTATGACCTTGTTCAGAAAATCTGCAGGTGGGGGCTGGTCAGAATCTTCAGTCCTTTGATAGAGATCTCTCATCTTTGCTTTGTTCCAGCACAAGAAATCACTTTCAAGGGAGGGACTGTGCTTTGAGTTGGGAGATGGAGGCAGTGGCTCCAAGTGTGCCTTGGCTACAGGCAGTTCAGCTTGATAACCTGGTCCCATGTGGTGCTACCTGGTTGCACCACTTTGGCTGTGGGTGGGATGAGAGGTAGCTAGGGTGGTAGTGGCCAGTAAATACTCATTCCCTGTGGAGTCTGCTAGTTGAAAACAAACAGATGAAGTGTGTAGAAGTATGTGATACTGAGTGTCCTGTTGCTCACCCAGTTTTCACCCTGATCTTTCTCCTTTCCTCACTCCCCATCTGTGGGGACACCAGGGTCCCTGCAGCCTGGGATTCTCAAAGAAGTTCTCATGGGAACTATCACGTTCTCAAAGGGCAAGTAAACATCCTAGGGCACTTTTGTTGGAGAAGATGTTTGCTCTGGCCCCAAAGACCCTCTCATTCCCACCATACCACAACATGCCAAGCACCAATCAGCTCCATGCATCCCATCGAAGCATGAAATATGCACTCTTGCACAAGTGCTCCCCAAAACAGCCTGTCTCCATCTCTCCTCCAGACAAGCCATGCTGGATGCTGGAGACAGAACTGATGCGGAGATGATACACAGAGATAGTCAATGAGTCAACGAGGTGAACAGCAAAAGTCCCACAGCCAAGTTCCTCCCGAAATCCATAGAAGCAATGTGCATGGATAAAGCCAGGACAGCAGTTGTCTAAAGACAAGCCTTATCTGACCCACTATGTAAGAACAGATTTCTTTTTAAGTCATCAGAGCCTGGATGTCTCTTTGTTAACATAACTTTTACTTTGATTTAACTCTACTGGTTTCACCTTGACCATACTGAATTTACTGTACAGACCTGTAGGTAAAATCAGACCTTTTGGATTTTCTTTTCACTCAGTATCTGAGACTGCTCACTGAATACTTAAAGATGTGCTTTTCTGCATAAAATCTGTGCAGTGGAGAATGGGGCAATGTTTTGGATTTAAAGTATTTTATTATTATTTTCTGGGAGCCCTTTTAAAGGGTTTAGGGAGAAAAGGATAAAGGCTATTTTGCTACCGTGAGGATTTGGTTTTGTTCAGTCCCCAGATAAAACTGCTTTTTCTCATGGAGCTTGGATTTTTCCATAGCCCTGCTCCAAACCCAACACAACCATCAGCAGCAGACACCAGACCTGACAACCCTAACTATCTGCAAGACATCTCTATGGAGGTGTCCTTGAGAAAATCACAGTGTAATGTCCCAGACAGATCCTGGTGGTACCAAAGGAAGAATCCCTTTGCACGTTGAGCATTGTGCTCTCACAGGTAGGAGGGATGCTGAGGGTTGAGCTCATGGATGAAAACACCCATATTAAGGACATTGTTTCAGTTTCTCACACCATGGTGTCTTGTATAATTTGAGATGCCCTAAAATGCCCTTCCTGACCTCCACTTGCTTGTCCAGAAAGGCCAACGCCTCCCACAAGGCCTGTGTCCTTCTAGCCCTATGTAGACACCTTAGGGCACTTCTCACAGTACCTACGTGTGGGTCACTGACTGGACCCCTGCGGTCACTATGGGGTGGCCTAAGCTCTCAGCATGGTCAGTGGAGAGCAGGTCAACATAGTCAGCAAATCCCACAGGGCTCTTCACCACCTACATCCATTTTGTTACCACTGGTATGCATCTTGCTCTGACATTGTTCACCTGTTGCATTGTGGGTAGAATGTAGTGTTGTTCTCTCAGTGATAGCTTATGAAAAAAATCCCAAACGACAGAGAAGAGGCTTGCCTTGTTTCCTTTTCTCTTTAAATACTTACTTTATTGAGGAGTTATTACAAACTATCAGCCCTGTTTTTCCCCAGAAGCTAGGACACCCACACTGGCCATGGTCAGCAGTGGAAGATCCAGTGATGTCCAGGAAAGATACTGACATTGGCTCAGCTCCCTGACTATGTGCCAGGACACAATAGTACAACTGGCAAACCTCTCATACCAGTTCCTCTTCCTGGTAAAAATCTCTACAGCTCTATGCTAAGCTAAGGAAAAGAAAATAAATTCCAACCATCTGGTGACTATTTTCTCCCCACTGAAGGGCTCTGCTGTACCTCTGCCCCTCAGCCAGCCCAACAGAGGCTGTTTGGTTTTGCAAGTTTGCTCAACCATATTCCTCCCAAGGAACATAGTTTCCCAGTCCTACAGTGAAGTATCTACCCACCATATAGTCCAGACCCATTTTTCTAACAAAAGTGTTCCTTAGTCTCCCCTCGAACATCCTAAGCTTGTTGGTTTTGCCTATATGTCTGCCTTCTCTGTCCCAGAAATTAATCTCCACCAGATCAGAGGGATTTGAGGGGAAGTTTCGTATCAACCAATTTGGCTACAGTTTATAGGTTAGGGGACTGAGGTAGGCTCCTTCAGTAGCTAGCCATCAGAGCTTGCTTTGCTGTTTGAAATCATATCCTGAGCCTGACTATACCAAAGGCTGAGGGAGTCTAAACAACAAAATTAATCTGTGCCTTCGGGATTTGGCAGCTGTGCTCAGTGTTGTGCTTGAATCATCACAACAAAGCACCTCAACACAATGATGTCAAAGTAGCTGGTAAAGACAAAGCTCAAGAACAGTTCGTCCTGCTCCTTTCCTTCTCTCCATGCCTCAGTTTCCCTGCCTAGAGAGACAGCTGCTCCAGAGCAGGCAGTACAGACAACAAGCAGCTTGGGTCTGAAGTGCCACAGCAGGTAGTTGCCCAAAGTCCTGCTGCATGACTTTCAGCTGCCTCTAAGAGGATGCCATCTGCAACATGTCCTGGGAGAAGGAGGTGGTGTGTGCCTTGGTGACGGGGTTCTTTTCTCGCACAAAACCAGAGAGGTAGAATTACTGTTTCACCGTGGAACACTTTTCCATTTGCCTCTCGGACTCTAAGTGTTACAGCAACACAATGAACCCTGATATGGTCCAGGACACCACGTAGGAGTGCTACAGAGAAATCTTGGGGAACTCAGGGCAACTGTGGATTGCCTCCACATGTCTGTTTCACCACGGACTTTTAAGACACAAAGATCCATCTGACTAGGGAACACTCAAACAAAATCATTAGCAGTGAGCAATAAAGACTGCTGAACTGTCCATGCTTTTGAGTAGCTGCACAATTTCTTTTACACCAGGGAGATGAAGGGAAAACATCACAACAGGGAAATAGTTTCCAGTTCTCTAGTCTGTAAAGTCTGAAGACTATTTCAGCTATTCCTGCTGCTTGGTTTGAATTCCCTAAATCATGCCTAGTAAATTCAGTATCCTACCAAGAGCTTCACAGTAACACGCAGGGAAGCAGCTGGCTGAGAACCAGCACTGGTGTCACTCAAGCTGGTGAAGTCACTGATGCCTCCGGGACATGTGGTGGCAAAGCCACCTGCTCATCAAGAGATATGAAACTCGATGCTAAGAAAAGTTAGTCTCATTTACATCCACGCAGTGGGGTTGTGGGGGCACAAACCTGAATACAATCTGCTGGCCTCTGGGCTAACTTTGGAAAACCAGTCATCAATTTTGCATAATTTACTTTTAGGGACCTGACTTAAGCTCTTTGGGGGATTCAGGGCTTAAAACCCTGGTCTGGCTGGCAGTAGCTTCTCTTAAATGTCTACCACCCAGTTGGCTAGGGTTCATCAGCCCAGCAGGATCAAGGTGTGGATCAGAGCTACATGAGGGAGAAGAGTTGGCCCTTGCTTTAAACCCTTGCATAGATGGGAGAGGTTCTCTTCAGCTTTCTCAGAAACACAATAATGTAATAAAAATAAATCCTGCCTGGTCCTCCTGGCTATACATTGCCCACACAAGACAATCTTGACATCCACAACTTTGGCGGGCTTTAGAGACACAAGCATACTGTTATGAAGGATGCCAAGCTCATATCCCTCCATCTCCAAGTGCTCTGGGGAGGCTTGGCTCTCCAGCCACATCTCACAGCTGTGAGCAGGTGATACCCTGAGGGTTGTACTCTGAAAACAGCAGCAGAGGACCAGTTTCCAGCAGTGCTCTGCCCCCTCAACCTCACTGTCCCCTCAGGTTGACCTCCCCCCCCCAAATACTGTACACATAAGGACGTCAGAGTTTGTCTCCATCCCTCCCCTTCCCCAAAGGAATTTCCCTCCATGAGCAGGCATCAGACCCACTCAGCTCTCCTCTTCGCTCTTCACAGGGAACAGAGCTGTCTGCTCAGTGTGGTGGGGTCCACTGCCGGTCCTTGTGGCCTCCCCCTGTTTTGCACAAGGAGCAGTTCCTTCCCGTGTGTGGATTTTCTGATGCCTCCTCAGGTACTTCTTCAGCCGGTAGCGCTTCCCGCAGACCCCACACTTGTAGGCCCCACCTCGGGAATGGAGCAGCTGGTGTTTAATAAGATGGCGCTTCTGAGGGAAGCATTTCCCGCACTTGGTACACTTGCAAGGGCCCATGCGGATGTGGATTGTTTGGTGCCGGAAGAGGTTGGCCTTCTGGTTGAAGGTCTTCTCGCACTCAGGGCACTGGTAGGGCTCCTCCTTGGTGTGGATCCTCTGATGCCGAACCAGATTCGACCGCTGGGTGAAGCTCTTCCCACACTCGGTGCACTTGAAGGGCTCGCTCATGTGGGCTCGCTGGTGGCGGATCAGCTTGCGGTTCATGCGGAAGCTCTCCCCACACTCGCTGCACTTGTACGGCCCCTCGCTCGTGTGGATCTTCCTGTGTCTGGTCAGGTTAGATTTCTGGTTGAAACTCTTCCCGCACTCGGGACAAGGGAATGTCCGTTCACCCTTAAGAGCTCCTTTTGCTAAGGGATCCTTCTTGGACATGGATTTCTCCCAGTTCTCCAGCATCCCCTCTTTGGTGGGCCGATAGTACTTCTTCTTTGGGCTCTGGCTTTCCTGGTGGTTGGTCTCCACACCACGTTCCTCTTTAACTTGGATCCTCGGGATAGCACTGAGGTTTGGCTTCTGCCCATAATGCATTCCAAACTCAATGCTTTCCTGTGGTTCTTCCTTGACATGGAGCACCTGGTTACTGGCGATGGGGATTTCCTGTTCACGTTGCCTGTCAGCATCTTCTTCCTTTTTAAGCTGTCTCCCCTGTAAAGCCACCAGTGGGATCTTTGGATCAAATTGTGTTCCACAGTCCGGGTTTTCTGGTGGCTCTTCCTTGATGTAAAGATTCTGGCAGGCTATTGCAGTAATGTTTGCTGTGTCATCAGTGGTTGGTTCTGGTTCCTCCTTCATCTGAATTTTCCAAGGAGGGCTTTTGGGATTCGATGGGTTTCTAGGCATACTACACCCCTGGGCTGCATCTCCTTCATGGGATGTATTCTCCAATGTATTATCCTCTGATCGGAAGGCAAAATCAGGCTCCTCCTTAATCTGGATGACCTGGAGAGACACACCATTGATGTATCCCTCAAGTGGCTTTTGCTTAGCATGGTTCCTCTGGTGAACGTTGAAATAACGCTTGGTGCTTAAGCTCTTCCCACACTCAGTACAAATGAAAGGCCCCCCACGGAGGTGTATCTTCTGGTGGGCCAGCAGTGTGGCACTTTGCCCAAAGCACCTACTGCAGTCAGGGCATTTGAAAGGCTTCTCCCGCTTGTGGATCTCCCTGTGGGCAGTGAGGGTCCCCTTCTTCACAAAGCTCTTCCCACACTCAGTGCAGGCGAATGGCCTGTTCTCCGTGTGTGTCCGCATGTGGATATTGAAGTAGATCTTCGTGCTCAGGCTCTTGCCGCAGTGGGCGCAGAGGTAGGGACCACCCTTGGCGTGTGTCTTCTGGTGGGTGGCCAGGCATATCTCCAGGCGGAAGCAGCGCCCACACACCCCACAGCAGAAGGGCCTCTCTCCCGTGTGGATGCTCTGGTGGGTCGTGAGGTGGCCCCGGGTGGTGAACCGCCTCCCACACTCCCCGCAAGTGAAGAGCTCCTCTGCCGTGTGGATCCGCTGGTGTCTCTTCAGGTTTCCCTTCTTGCTGAAGGACTTGCCGCACTCCTGGCACGGGTGAGTCTTTAGCACCACACGCTTAACCAAGTCCTTCATGGCAGCAGCGCCCTGCACCCAGCGGTGCGTGGTGGGGCTGCCAAGCAGCCAGCAGGTACAAAAAAGCCACAGCCTTATGGGGGCAGACTGCCTGGGAGGATACAAACCCCATCAGCACTCACACATCAAAGTGTACTTTAATGGATGCACTTTATTTCCCGTGAGGGAAAGGGTGCTGCTGCTGTACGCCAGCTCCGAGCCAATAAGAATTGTGTGGTCTTCCTCATTTCTCAACTTCCTTCCAACTCAGCTTGCAGACGCGATGTTTGTAACTCCATCTCCTGCCTCCTCTGATCTCCTGGAGAGACTTCCCTGGCATTCCTGGAGACTCGGACTGCCAGACTGAAAAAATAAAAGGAAAATTACCAAGTCATTTCTCCATCTCCTGTGTTCACTATGTAAACACAATGGGTGGCACCTTGGCTGCTCCATGGGAGACTGAACCCGAGACCGTTGAAGCCACAGGCTCATCTGGACTCCAACAGAGAGAGCAGGAACAGGCTGATTTCCCCTGGTGAAAGGGGGGATCTGCGATGCAATCGCTGCTGCAGTGACACTGACATTTCAGCTCTACTGTCGCTGCACTAGTGATTTACTCTCAGAATAATCCTCTGACCTCTTACCAAGATTTATAAGTAAATAAGTTTATTAATTAATGCACTTTGCGGTAATTATAATTAATCCAATTTTTGAGGAATGACTGTGCAGCAACCAAAATCCCCAAAACCTAGAAGAAAACCCAGCTGGGCACCATTTACAGACTGCTTTGTACTGGCAGACCTCTGTGCACAGGAGAAGACAGGTCAGTGGTGTCCTCAGTGGGCAGCGGAGATTCGAGACATGGAAACCTTAAGTGACTTTGTCCATTTCAAGAGGGTTCAACTGACAGCAGGGTCTGGGTTCTATGTATTTCTGTTAGAAAAAAAAAAAAAAAAATCAGTGCAAACAGAGACGTGAGCAACATCTCCTATTAAGACTCTGAATTGCAGAAGGAAGAAGAGCCAGAAAGACCAAGGGGAAGAAAGCAGTGGTGCTGGAGATGTCTGTCAGCAAGAATATAAATGGCTGGGCAGGATTTTATTGATGGCACTGGTGGCTGAAGGTGCAGCTGCCAAAATCACCAGTTATGGGGCAGGCTGCCAGCAAGGATGTGGGTTGTCAGTGAAATCTGTCCCTGGAGGTCTGGATCGCTGGGAAGTCTGTGGCTGCACAGATGAGTCCCTTGGGAGCCTGTCACCAAGGTGTAGGGGGCTGGGGTGGGTGGATGTCATGGATCAGGGGACAAGCGATCGGTGATGTGGAGTATAAGCATCCAAGCACAACGGCGATGCAGAGTTTGCAGTGCTACTCAGAGGAAAGAGGCCAGAGTGGGAAATGAAGTGGGCAGCTATGTCAGATTTCAGAGGACAGATATAGCAGGGAAAGGTACTTCAGATTTAGCCTTGTGTTTCCCCTTCGGTTAACCCACCTGGATCCCCACTGATGCTCGTAAGAGCTACCACAGAAGCACAACAGTGCTCCTGTCCAAGCTGAATTCTCCATGCTGGTACAGAGGAACCACAGGAAAACAAAACCAAAAATACCTGCTCCCTCCTGCCCCCCCTACCCCCCCCCAAAAACAAAACAAAACAAAACAAAACAACCATACCTGCAAAATTATACTGAGCCAGGAGAGACAAAACATGCCCACTTGGAGCAGAATCAGGGTCTAAAGTTTGCTAGTGGAGGGGAGACTCCTGGAATCCAGACCCCCTCCCTAGGTGGGGGAGCAGCTATGTGACGCCAGCAACCGGTTTTAATTCAGCAGCCAGGCTGGAAAGGCGGCTCAGAAAAGTTCCAATTTTTACCGAGGAAGGTCATCAACTCCCTGAGCGGGTAGTGGATTTAGCCTCCGGCCACCAAGGACCCTCTTGTCGGGCCTGGCTGTCGCAGCCCAAGGTGCCGCAGGTGGCGCGGGCGTCGGGCTCGCTGCGGTGCCCGTGGCCTCTCCCCGCCACGGATGCTCGCACCCATCTGTTAGAGGACACAGCTCACTGGCAGCAGCGTTTCAGCTGCCTCTGGCTTTTGGCAAAAAGCAACAAACCCATGAATTCAGATCAGAATAAATTCCAACCTACTTTCTTGCTTTTTTTTTTTTTTTTTTTTTTTTTTTTTCCCCCCCATATTTTTTTCAGTATCCAGATCCTACAGATCCAAATCCTGCTTTTACTTCCAGCTCTGCAATTCCCCTGGGCTCAGGGTTTAAATCAAGGACAGAACCAGATCCCAGGGAGTTGCTTCATCTTTAATTTAGGCTACCCGGACAAATCAAGAGCAGTTGGCCGAAAGCATCTTACCTGAGTGGGCCATCAATCTCTGTTTGGCATTTCTCTCCTCTTGGGCAGTCTCAGTGGCACAACAGTGTTTGCGACTTGGCTGCAAGTTGTGTTGCAGCCGCAGCTGGGCTGACCTAAAGGAAGTCTGCGGCCAGTGCAGTGAGAGCTACCGGAGGAAGGGTGAGACGAAACAAAGACAAAGAGCAAAGGTTGGAGGAGCAGGGGGACAACAGGGGAGATGCTCTCGACTCGCGCTGCCGGGAGGGATTCCCATGCCACCTCCAAGGCTTTAGCGGGAGCGCGGGGAGGGAGAAGAGGGAAATTTCTCCCTGATGTGCCTTTCTTCTGCACCGCTATATTGGTGGGAAGCTGGAAGGGTCCCCAGCTCGCACTGCCTTCTGGGATTTGTAGTTCTCCCCAGCAGCTCTGGTCCCCCCCATCCCTCCCTCTCTGCCTTGGCAGCCGGTGGGTCAGGATCAGGCCATTTCTCTCTTGACCCAGCTGAAAGTGTTTGGTTTTTTTTTTTTTTTTTTTTTTTTTTTTTTTTTTTTTTTTTTTTTTTTTTTTTTTTTTTTCTGTTGTGGGAAGGAAAACATCCCGCAGTGCTGCAAGCACCCTTCTTCCCTCCTAGTCTGATTGTCTGGGACTTGCTCCAGGAACCGTCAGGAGAGGAAAGATGCATTTCGAGGAGTATTTCTCAGTCCGTAGCACCTTGCAATTCCCCTGGGGGAAAGTAGCAACCAAGGCTGGTGCCTAGTTACCAGCAAAGGATCCCTTTCAATGCTCAGTGAAAGCACAAAAGGAGTGTGCAGATTGACAAGGGTGGACGCTGAGGCGTTTGGATTTGATTTAGCAGTGCTGAGCACCACCTGGGAGAGGCTGAACCTTGGAAGGACCTCAAAGAGAGCACCCAAACCTTCCTGGGTCTGACCTGCACTATGAGGCTTGGAGACTCAGCAGGACGCTGTAGCCCAGGACACTTTTCTGGGAGGGTTTTAGGAGCACGTGCATGATGAAAAGCTGCTTCAGCATGACTCTTCCCTGGAGTGTTGATTAGGGGCTGCTGCATGTCTCTGAGGTTGGACAATAATACTCATTCCTGCACAAGCCAGCACCTCCGATCCTGTTCTAAATATGGCACAAGGCTGCAAACATACTATTCTCTTCCTCTTTGTTTCAGGGAAACTGAGGCAGGAGATGGTGAGGTGCCTGGCTCAGATCACACAAGGAAGTTCAAGGTTACAGGGTTCCTGGAGGTCAGATCTAGTCTACGCACTGTATGTGCCTTGGATAAAGTCTGCTGACTTATTTCCTACCCCAATACAAACCATCAGTACGAGGCAGCAGCACCAGTATGAGCATGCGTCTACATTCCAGCTTGTAACCCAGCCCAGTGAAGGAAGATCTAGCCATCTTTACACCACTAAATGCACAGCAGAAGCTACATAAGCCTCTTTCAGTTTACCCTGCTGAATGTCTTCTGCTTTGATGCATGACAGTGCCAAGCAGGTCCTGGACAGACAGGAGAGATCACAGTGTTAGGCCACAGCAGATCCCAGGTATGCTGAGGCCAGATTCCTCATGTGCAGGACTCCTTAGGCAACATGCCTCCCCTTTCCCATCCTTCCTATTTCCATACCTTCCCACAAATCCCACCTACAAACACTTTGGATGGTGCCAGTCAGCAGCTCCATCAGCTGGTCCCAGATTGGTGTGTGGCACCATGGAAGGAGAGAGGTTGAGTCAGGACATGGATGAGAGGCTCAGCTGGAGCAGCTGGGGGGACCGTTTGTGTGAATCCTTTGCTGCCAGAGGGGTCTGGAGGAAGGAGCCAAGATCATGGTGTTTCAGCTGAGTCAGTGTTCATTTGTCCACTGGGGCACAATTTACCTTTTTTTCTAAAGTGGATGCCTCTAAGAGCAGATGACTCGTGCCCTCAGAGCTCCTGTTTCTCTCCACAGACATCTGAATTTTCCCAGGTGAGTCTACCCACAGCTCACCCTCTCCTTCAAAACAGACCAGAACTGCCTGCTGTCCCCTCAAGCTCATACAAAGCCCCAGAGACCAAGAAAACAAGGGCTCAAATATGCCTTGATATGACCCCAAGGTTTTGCCCATGCGTTCAAAAATGGACTCAGAGCACTTTCACACTCATCCCCAAAGAGCTTCATAGACAAAGCTGTCAGGGCAGGGTTAGGCTATGTCTAAAAATGCCTCTTCCTAAGCCCAGTTTTGAACTGGTAATCTCCCAGTCTAAACAGAGTCTCCACTATCCTGGGGAAACACACTTTGGGAGTGAAGCTGTGCCATCAGCTGCAGTGATTCTGCCTCTGCAACATACCACTAGATGCCAGTGGAAGCTCTTCCCATCTTGCTTCTGCTTAGAAAATCTCACACTTTTGGCAATTTGTTTTGTTTTATTGTATTTTTTAAAAGGTAATCCTTCACTTTTGATCTAATAAAGTCTTCTTGCATTTGGGTAGTATGTATGAATATAGGTGTGAATGTATTTTGTGTATCTTTTCTCTCTCTCCTTCTGTTTTTCTCTCCATTTGCCTCTCTGTTTCTCAAATAAACAAATGTTTGCCTTTGCTATTATTTGGATGAAAACTTCTTCCCAGTGTCTCCCCAGACCAGGATCTCATCTGCAAACTCCTTTCTTCATCCCCCTTCCTATCAAACACCCCAAATCCCCAAACCCTTCACCTGTCACATCATGACCTGGTGTCCTGACATGGACAGTCAGTCCAAGAAACACATAGGTGCTGGCATGGCATGTCCAAGCCCTATCCTGCTCTGGGAGATGATTCCTCATATCAGGGGACCAAGATGCAAGACATAGGTCCAGTTTATCCAGCTATGGGAATAGTAACCTGGAGGAACAGACCTGCATGGAGCTGGGGAGGGGATCATGGAGTAGAAGCAAGTTAGCACAGTAGTGCCAATAACCAGCTTCCATATGTTTGGTGTTTAATGGGAAGGTGAAATGAATGAAACTTGTAGACACTGCAGAACTAGGAAAGAAACCCTATGTGGAAAAGGGTAAAAAATAAATAAAGCTCACTGTCCTGTACGCCAACAAGTTCTATGCTGCACTTACCTGGTGTAGAGATCAGTACAGGAGTGAAATGATCTCACATTTTATCTTTTAGTGCATGGAGTTCTGCATTTTGCAGAACATAATCTGTCCCATGTTACCCGCTGACATTTTGGCAAGGTCTAAGCCTTTGAGCAGCCTCCAGGCTTTGCACACACCATTCTTTTCACCTGGTTGGTCGAGTTCGAAGTACATTGGACTATCCCAAGGGCACTCAGAGTGAACACAAAGCTCAGCTCTATCCAGGCTGAAGGAAGGGGGTGTGTGTGTGTGAGTGTCCCCTTCATGTGCTGGGCACAGCCACCCTCTCATGACAGAGGCCCACCAGGGTTAGGAACATCTCGCCTTTGTGCAAGCTGTCTTTTGGTTTGAGTTATCCTCCAGAGCCTGGTGCACCTCTCACTCTCTGAAATGCCTGGTGCTTGTTACCAATAGAGACAATTGTTAGACTTGATGGAGTAAAGGTCTGATCCAGATTCACAATTTCTGTGTTGCTTTTCCAGACAAATCCAACTCTGTTTGACCAGCCAACTGTATCCAACAAGGCTGCATAGAAGTGAGAACTAAATTTAAGCTGAGCTGTCATATGCTCCAGTGCCTGATTAATTATACAATGGAATAAAAATGGGATTTGGCAAAATAAAGGAGGAGGGGTGAATGAAATCTTTGCTCTGCTTTAGATGGAAATATTGCCGCAGGTTTTATTAAAGATGCCACAGTTAATCACATCAGGAGGCTTGAGGGCGTGAGGTGGCTTGTACTGGGTACACACAATGCAGGAGAGCTGGGCAATGCAACACGGGGAGATAAGGGAGCAGGAAGCCCAGTTATTTGTTCAGGTGAGTCTGTGATTGTTCCCAAGATTTGCAAACATGATAGGTGCCAGCTGAGTCTGAGAAAGCCCCTAGCTGCCTTGCTACACTATAGAATGTTTTTATTAATGTAGGAAACAACTCTCACAGTCAGGAAAATGTGATAAAGGAGAATAAAGTGTTTAAATGACAAGTAATTTTCCATGTTATTCCAACACCCCTGCTTTTCTTTAATTGCTTTTGAGTATCTGATTAGGAAGGAAAGCTTTTCTTATTTCAGCCCACATGTCCTACAGCTTCATTGTGCTGCCCAAGCCCACGGTTTCCCATCCTGCTGCCATGAAAATAATTGCAGACTCTGTGGCTGCTTCCATATCTACCATGCTCATCTGATAAGAGCTTGAAATTAAAAACTGGTTTAAGCACAAATGGGTTCGGCACTGATTTCAAGCCCTGCCAGATGACAGCAACCCTTTCACCTGTCTGTTCTACAAGAAATGGGCTTCTTGTATGTGAAGACTCAGTTGTTTGACGTTTTCCTGGGGAGAGCTGTGGTCAGGGCTGGTGACTGCAGATCTTCGGTCAGTAGAGAGAAGGAAGGATTATGGCTATAATGCCCCCAAATCAGAAACCCATCCTTGCCCTGCTCACTCTGCCCCAAGTGTTGTCAGCATTGTAAGATGGATCAAACATCTTCAGGTCTTCTAGGTGGTGAGCAAGGAATTGAGATGTTACAAGGACCCGGAGACCTAGTCTGACACCAGTCTCCGTTTCATCCCAAGTCCCATTCTCTTCACCTTCATTACAACTTTCTTTCCCCAAATGACAACCACATCATAAGATATCTTAAAAAACCTAGTCTAGTTGACATGCCCAAGGTTGAACAGCACATTGGTAGCAGACCAGAGAAGTACTTTCCTGGTGCCTTTCTCACACAACAGCTGCTATCCAATGCTCTTACTCTCCTGGCCTCATTCTTCCTCCACAGACAAACCACGTAGGATCCCCCCTGCCTGTAAGCACATGCAATAAAGTTGTATCTACTTGAGTAGTGAGTGCTACTTCCCCTCTAATATCTTTCATTCCCCACATCCTACCGAGATGGAACCAAGCATTTATTCCTAGGCGTCTTCCAAGTCCAGATTATAAAAGTGGATTCTGGGCATGAGCCTGGCCTGTGTTGGTGCCTCAGTTTCCCTTCTTGGAGGGCAGTGTGAGAAAACTCATCAGTAGGCATCACTGAGAAGATGAAGCCTTTGCTTTCAAATACCTGCAGCAGAGCTAGGATCCCTGGTAGTGAGAGGAGCTTATATTCACTAGAGGAATTTCAGGCCAAACCTGATGCACTGGCTGCCCTCTTCTTCTGACTTGCCCACCCCACTCCTCCCTGGGATTCGTCAAGGAAGACTA